ACACACACACACACACACACACACACACACACACACACGGCTCTGAACAGACGACAAAATACCAAAAACTTAATAGAGACATGGTTTTGGCACGGCACCCACATGGATCGAGCAACGAAAATGTACATACGGCACTGAAATTCAAAGTTAAATTGAAATCTGTTTTACAGAGCCATAAGAGATGGGGCAAGCTTTGCTTCGGCCCACTTTCTTGGGAAGATAGATTCTCCTTGTGTTGAGCTTAGGTGCGAATTTCACTTAAATTTATCTTTTTTTCACTTGATGTTAAGGCGACAGTTTCATTGGTTTCTCTGAAACCTATGTTTCAAATTTAGAAATAGAAATTGCTCTCTTGTTACAATGCTAAAATGCCTTTAGTGCATGAAATTTAAATCGCTGAAATTGCACCGGAATACTGCGAGTTAGAACCCCCTGACGTACTGTTTTGACCTCTTAGAACGTTAAACTGGACTGCAGGTATTCACAGTGCGTTACTTTAATGCTAATCTAGACTGTCGCATTTCAATTTCAGTACGCAGCACGACTCTATTCACTTAAAACTGAGACCTGATCAGCGTAAGTTATGTCACAAAAATACGTTAGAAACAAAACATTGCAAGTTCTTTATCAGTTGTATGTAGCCCACGCTGAGACCCTCCTGCGTAACCCATGCCAAACACGCTGGCCATGTCGTCCGGACTGAACAAGAATTTGAGCACGCGCTAATGAGCTCGTTACTGTTAAAGTCCCTCCATTCCCCGTAACTCAGTTACAGCTGGTATAGAGCCTTGTGACTCCAGGGATCTGGGGTGCTCCTGGCACTCCACTCAGCCCGAAAATATGGCGTGATTCTAACGGAATCTTGTCAATGCGCTCATTACCACACGTTTCTCTTTGCATACGTAACCCTATCCACAGAAAAAGCCAACCTTTTACGTAACCTTGAGAATGTTACCTCTCTGTGTATTAGTCTAGTGGAAATACTCAACTATTTGGCTGTTTGACACGCGTTCCGAGCGTTATCGGGATATTGCAAATGAAAACAGAGAACGTTACAAAAGTTCTGTTTCTGCCAAGATATTTGGCTACTTTACCGACGTAAGACAAAAGAGGAATATTTCCCATAACAAATAACGCCGTTTCTTGTTGTTGTTGTCGTCATATTTTCACCTGTCGGGTGAAGACCCCAGTGTTGACAACGAGGTGATACGTTGATATGTTGTTTTTGTGAGATAGCTAAATCATTCACAAATTACACAAAATCTTACCGAATATTTTCCTCATTGTATGGATACTCGGGTAGATGTAAGCGTTGGCCCCTCATTTGGAAACTACTTGACCTAGTGCACACATCCGGGTCTTCAATCTCTCTCGCACCACATTTGTGTCGCCGTGACGTCACATGCAGAGGGCACGTTTAAGAATGGCTGAGGGGGAGGGGGTGGGGATGTCCAAAGGAACTTTAGCTGTACTAGAACTCTTCTTTCTCTGAAGCTGGCCATGTCTTTCGCCTTGATATCATATCAGGATATTTTTTTTTATTTAGTGTAAGTAAATGTCATGATCAAGGTATTTTATTGAGCACAGGCAGAAAATTAAAATTCGAGATTCAACTCTCTCGAAGATTTTTATGATTTTTAAATTCAGTATTAATATATTATGTTTGTATGTGTACGTGTAAGCATAACATGTAGATATAATTGCAGGTTTTTTTCCTCTCTTCCCCCAACCAATATAATTTAGATCATTTAGGAGGCGGATTGCGCTATTCTGCCTATCACGGCCAACCTGGGATGAGAGTGATACAACAGTTCAGCAGGCAGACGGAGATATTCGATAACCTCCCCCCCCCTGGGCAGGAATCGAACTCACGGATTCTGCTTAGGACCGCAAAATGTCGTACCATTAGACCACAAACGACAGTAGGCCTAGCCAAAGATGTTGTTAGAATTGAAATGCACTTGCGACCAGTTTCACTATAGCCTGCCCAAATTACCTCTGAATCAAGAACACATCGCTCGGTGTCTCAAAAGTATTCATCCTGAATTACGCTACGAATTACCCAAGTAATTCCCCTGAAGGAATTATCCGGCGTTAAATTTGGATTTTGGGCTAGTTTGCACAGCTTACCGCTGATTTCGTTCGGTTCTTTTGAAGCAGAGCTCCAGTTATTATTTTTCTTTGGGGTTTTTTTTTCAAACCTACAGAGTTGAATGGTGCTACAAATGCATGCATTCCAATATAATGCTATACTTTAGAAAAAGGTTGTTAATTGAAAATCCTAAAGTCAAAAACAGAAAGAACTTGTTTTGTTAAAATTTCAAACTTGGAAGATAACAGTTCTAATCTCTCCTGCTAGGAATCACTAGAACCGTTGTCTATTTTTTGTGTTAGTCCAAGAGGCAGAAGATGCTAACTTGCGTACTAGGCTTATGAATGTATCATCGGAGAGAATTCCTTAGATTCAATTGAAAAAAAAGGAGTGGAACCCTTGTAGAAAAGAAAAAAAGTAGAAAAAATATATAGAATAAATATTTTTTTACAGAAATAATTGTAAAGAATAAAAGAAATTATA